ACCCCCTGGAGCAGCAGCCTCCTCCCCTCGGAGTTTCTGGGAGGCTTGCTGCCTGCTCCCAAGCATCTCCTCCCTGGGTTTCCGCCCTGCGACTTGCTGCAACTCAGGGATCACCGAGATGCCGCCAGATCCATCCACAGGTTCTTGTCAGGAGCTTCCACGTCCGTTTCTTTGTTTTACTGGGGTGGCAATGTACTCGCCCAAACAGGCCATCACAACGGCTGCTGCAGGGACAATTCTGTGACACTAGGGACATTTTCCGAGCTGTGCAACAGCTCGAGTTCTCCTTTCCAAGCCCTTCCACCCGGAACCCGAATTCCCCGCCCTCTAAAGCAAAACCTCCCCTTCCCCGTCTCTCCCACCCTGGGGCCCACTAATCATTCTCTATTCCACCTCCTTGCTGATTTCGAATCGGCGAGGTCACACGGCATTGGCTCTTTCGCAGCACACTCCCTCTGCGCTCCGCCTTGCCCTGGTGGTACGCATGCGTCGTGCTCTCGTATCTCTTGGTGCACATCCCCTGGTCTGTTCATGGGAACAGCTTTTGGTGGGCCCAGGGTCGGGGTGGCTGGGTCACGTGGTAGTTTTCTTTGTTCAGCTATTTTCTCTGGGGACTGTGCCGGCTTACCAGTGGTGAGTGGAGGGTTGTGTTGTCGACTTTCCCCACACTTGTGTTCTGGGGTTTTGTTTTTGTCCGTCTCTCTCACCGCCGTCCGGATGGGAGTTCTGTTCCACTGTTGGTGTGCAGCTCTAGTGCAGGGTCTCCATGGGTCCAGATGGATGCCACGGTGGTGGGTGCTCCGCTTGGAGCCTCTCACCTGCTAACTCACCACGTGAAGCCACCAGCCACTTTACAGGAGAACCGGTGCAACCCTCGCCAGGTGGCCGGGAGCCCTGTGGACAGTGCCTTTCTGCTGAGTCAGGCAGCTCTGGGATGGGATTTTGGGTTCATGGCTAAGGGCGACCAGCCATCTCCTCACGTGCTTGTTGGCTATTTGAGTTTCTCCTTTGGTGGACGGTCGGGTCACACCCCTTGCCCGTTTTGTCCTCCACGGAGTTGTCTGTCATTTTTGGTTGTTATGTTGCAGCAGGTTTTTAACTTTGAATCACGCACGTCAGACCTTACACGGTTCCTCACGTGCGTTGGACACGTTGTCAGGAGAGACCAGTCTCTGGAGGAAGGACAGCACACTTGGTAAAGTGGAGGGGCAGCAAAGCAAAGGAAGGCACTCACTTGACAGCGGCTGCCAAGCAGGACCACTGTGAGGCCGGCGTGGGACTGCTGCACGGGGTCTCTGAGTTGGAGCAACCCCCCCTGGTTCCTCCCACTTTCCTGTGGCCAGTGGGTTGTCTTTCACTTGGGATGAAGCTCCTCGCTGGGCGAGAGCATGTGTGTAGTAGGGGTCTCACCTGTCTCTCGGTCTCGCTGCCTGTTCTTTGGTTGTCTATCTGACAGTCTGGTTAGAAACTACGGCAGTGTCACCCGGACATCTTCTAAGAATGTTAGGAGTTTTCGTGGTTTTTTGTGTGTGGTGTGCGGCATGGGTCTTAATGGTTTCTCCTCGATGTGGACCTTCGTGTTTCTAGCACCGTGTCTTGGAAAGTCTCTTCCTTCCCCCACCCTCCAAATGGACTTGGGACCCTTGTCGAAAACCGCTGACGGTAAGTGGAGGATTTCTTTCTTGGGCTCCCAGTTCTGCTTCTAGTTGATCCTAATACTGCTGTTACCGCAGTGTGCTTTGAGATCAGGAAGCGTGCTGATTCTTCAGCATTGCCTTACTGATTCCGGGTCCCTTGCTTTTCCAGCTAAATTTGAGTATTGGCATTTCCACTGGGACTGTTGGGGATGACGTTGAATCTAGAGGTCACTTGGGCGGTCTTGTCATCTTGACTCACTAAGCTTTCCAGGCAGGAACAGAGTAAGCAGTAGCCCTACTCCCTCTCCCCCAGCGCTGGGTCACACTGATCTTTCTGTAAGCGTGTACCCAGCCCGGACCTTGTGTGTTAGTTGAATCACACAATCCGTGGCCTTCCCTGTCTGGTGTGGTTCTGCTCAGCGTGGTGCCAAGGTTCCTCCGTGTCGTAGCATGGATCAGAACCTTCTCTGTTTTGCCTGGTGTGGAGTGGAGGACTCATGCTGCTGTAGACACGCGTGTGGAATTTGGTTGAACACCTGTGTTCGGTTCTTCCCGAGGACTGGACCCGCCGGTGGCAGGGTGATGCCATGTCTAACTTTTTGGGCAACCCCCAGCTGTCTGTCACAGCTGCTGCAGCTTCACATTCCCACCGGCAGTGTTCACAAGTCGCAGCTCCTCCACGTCCTCGCCAACACTTGGTCACGTCTGTCTTTTTGCGTTTTATTATAGTCGTTGGAGTGGGCGCCGAGTGGTAGCTCCTTGTGGTTTGATTTGCATTTCCTGGATGGTTAATGCATTGGACATCTTTCCTTGTGCTGCCGGGCCTTTGCAGTCTTTTTTGGAGAATCGGCTGTTCAAGCCCTTCCACTGTTGGGAGTGCTCCTGTTTTCTGCACGCTGTGGGATGGTCGCACTTTCTTCGATGGTGCACCTGTGAAGTTGGAATGTGGACCCTCATCCTGGACTGGTGGGACTAAAGCCCTCTTAGCCTGTGGCCATTTCCAAAGCCCTGTGGGAGTAGGGTGCTGACTGCATTCCCAGTCACCTCTCAGGACCCAGACAGCACCACCTTCCTGAGAAAGTGCAGGTCAGGTGCACTGTGGGCGACCTACCTTGGCTGTGGCGCCGCATGTATGCCGAGCGGCAGTACTGGGGTTGCTCTGCTCGCCTACCTCACTGACCATAGACAATAGAGTGGGGGTCTCCCGGGACTGACCTCCACCTTTCAAGGTCAGCAGTCAGACTGGCTTGCCATAGACAGGGTGGTGGGTCAGTTTGGGGCCACACGGTCTCCCTTGCGCTGTTCAGGTTCTACATGAGCACAACTGAACTGCCTACCGTGGCCGTGGCTCTGAATCACTTGGACCCAGCAGGACAGGTGGGAAGCACTCCTGGTGGTTTAGCTGGCTGTGCATCTCTGGGAGCGGAAAGCTGACGTTCTCCCGAGCGGCTGGTAGGCTGGAACCGCCTGCAGCCTGGCACTTAACCCACTGTGCTACCAGAGCACCAGGAAGCGCCCTGGGATCCCCATTCTTTGTAGCGTCGTGGGTGGTGGTATAGAGGATGCCAGCTGTGTCGGGTGCCCCTGGAAACACTGTTTTTTTCAAGCCCACAGGGGATAAGGCAGTGTTCAGTGCCCTGTCCCCAAGGGGCTCCCTGAACTAGATCTGCCCTGCCAGGTGCCTCTCGGCCCTTGTATGCCCTATCCCCAGACCTGAGTCTCGAGCACCCGTGTGTGTGTGTGTGTGTGTGTACACACACGTGCACTGTGCTTGCCTGTGCCTGCCTATGTCCTGGTCTCCTGGCACTCCCCACCCTAAAAGTCTCGCCTGAGGTTTGCCAGCTGTGCCAGACGGCGCCCGGCTGCGGCTTTTCCCTGGGCGAGAGCTGGGCCTCCTCTTCACACCCTAGTTACCCTAGTTCAGTGTTTGCTCAGACAGGAAGCCCCACCCTGCGCAGTGTCACCAGCCCTGAACTCGGTGGGACTGCAGGCACCCTAGCAGTGGGGGGGAGGGGCCCCCACCTGGACCACTGTCGGGGCCCAGGTGCCGGGTGCTTCAGGGCCCTTTCTCTGGGTGGTAGGTCACTTGAGCTTTCCAAGGAGGTCCAGGTCCCTGTGGCCGAGTCCTCCCCGTTCCTGCCTCTGGCTTTTCCCAGCGCAGAAGGGAGCTGCCAGGTGGACCTAGGTTCCGGGTCATTCTCTTGCTGGGAGTGGCCACAGGCTTTGCTAGACAGAGGCCTCTGGCACCCAACCCCTCTCCCTGCCTTGGCCAGAGGCCAAGCCGCTCCTACAGTGGCTCTCCGAGGACATGACTTCCTGCCTCTTGCGCCAGCCCCACCCTGTCTGGCTTCACAGGGTGCTGGGGGCGAGAGGGTGGGGAGGCCCACGTGTGCG